AAAACGACCTATGTGACGAACACATTGATGTAAGGTAATAGTACCCATACTACTGAAAAATTTATACTGAAAAACTGAGCCGTGATGGCTCTGTGTCCGGGCGCTCGCCTTTAATTCAATGTACTCGAGCAATCTGAATTCGATCCCCGGTTCCAGCACCAATGAAATTGTTCATTTTAAGTGCTGAATTATCACGAGCTCCGCGGTGAAGGAAAACAAATATTTAAAACAAATATTTCGAAAATACGTGAAGTCCGCTAATCCGCAGTGGGGCCGCGTGGTGGAATATGCCCTGATACCCTCTGTACAGAGGAGGCCTTTGCCCAGCAGTGGGCTGTGTATAGGCTGATACTTGAATTTTTACTTTACTGAAAAATTACTTTAAAAAATGAGGTGTTTTTCTATTACATATATACACATAATATGGGTATCGTTATCAGGTACTGGTATCCACAGTACCAGCTTAATAGATTAGACGTGTTTAATGCATCTTGAAATATTTACTTTTTTTTTTTTATAAAACCTCCGATGTGATTAACTCATCGCGGATTTAGACTGCTGTACTAAGTTACTCTTTGTCTTTGTGTTCGTTGTAGTCTTGGCGCGTAAATCACGTCACACTGTACTTTATGATGACACCAAGGAGCCGAGTTGGGTGTTAACGTCATAACTGTCGACGGCCTCTCCATCTTACCCCCGTTCATTATTAATGAGCCGGCGCTGTAATGATTTAATGATAAACCCATGCGGACGCATTTAGGAGTATCATTTAGTAATTTGGGGGTTGGTACAGAGGTGGTTGGGGAATTAATAACTGTATATATCACGACAAAAGACACCGGTGATTTATCCCATATTGTTTAGATCTGTACAAAAAGGATCTATGCCCGTTTTATTTATTAAATTATATACATTTGATTTTATATGTTAACGAAAGTAAATGGGAAATAATATTACTTTGTATAGATAGACAATAGTCAAATACACGTGATTTAGTTAATTATTCCATAAAATACCATGTTATATTAATTCTTGTATACAGGACATAATTATAACAATAGTCACTTGCAGGTGCTCGACCAATGTAGGTTACATTGGAATGTTAGTATAATTATCTCACCAAAAAGGATCATAGGTTTATGAGTTTACCCGTGTTATAAATGGAGAAACACTATTTTTATTATATATTAAATCTAATAATTAAAATAGCATTTCTCCATGTATAAAACGTGTAAATCATTTCTTTATTAATTATGCAAAATTAAAATTTATTTGCGTACATACGTAAAATGGTTAACAGTATTAAAACCATAAACATCTTTACAGAATTAAGATAAATAGTTGGAATAAAAATTTACACATAATACATAAGATAGTACCTAAGGTAAATTCTAATTAATATTAATTTGCTTCCTATACATTGGCAAAAAAATTTCCGAGTTAACCTCTGAAGTTACTGAGGTCGTGCAACCTAAAAATGTTTTATGTTAACAAATTGTTGATTGAAATATTTCTTATTAAGGTTACTTCTTAATCCATACTTCCATACAGATATTATAAATGCGAAAGTATCTCTGTCTGTCTGTCTCGCTTTCACGCCAAAACTACTGAACTAATGAACCTGTATTTAAAAGAAATTTGGTACACAGATAGTCTGGAGCCTGAGAAAGGACATAGGGACATTTTTTTAATTGGAAAAGGGGTTATAAAGGGTTCTTAAAGGGGATAGATATTTATTTCAGGGCTTCAACACGAGCGAAGCCGCGGGAAAAGCTAGTTTCACTAAAACTGGGATTGCTATAGTCACAATGAACAGTGACAAAACTTATTATCTTTTTATGTTTGTTTCGTTTCAAATAAAATTCAACAATATACTGTAACCCATTCGTAAAAAGGTCTCACCACTTTTTCCACGCAGTAAGCTAATGTACAAACTCATTAGTAAAGCTTAACGTCAGTGTCACGGGCGGGTTAAAAATAAAAAAGTGTTTAAAAGAAAAAAAAAACGAACACGAACTTTGAAATAGGAACGTTGGCTTTTTCTGGTGCTGCTTCGGGCGCTCGGTGATTGATTATTGCCGTATTCGTGAAGATATTGTTCAAATAAACCACACCATTAATTTTCTGTAAACAGTAGCGGGTTAATGTTCTCTACACTTACCGCCTCGGTACATTTTTAATGCTTCACACTCGTCTCTACACTTTTTAACAACACTCAAATGATGATTAAAAGCAGACCATATTAAGCCATATTTGGGGCCAAATGATTGATGAAAGGTAATGCCTTTCAACATTTCAGTCAAGTACCTTAGGTTTGATAAAACTGAAAGCCTGTGTTCATTAGCATTATGGAAAGAAAAAATTACTCAATTATTTTGCTATTTAAATCTGTAGATATCTTTTTATGGATTTGAATTGCTCTAGGATAAGTTCACAAAATATCCCTACTTTCAAACAGTTAATAGATTTTAGTTTTGTACACTTAACAATCCCGTTTATTTTATTCATTGTTCTGTTCTACGGCTATCACGAAACTTTTCCTTTTTTTTAATTAAATTAAATTACAGTCTCTATCAAGAGCGTCAACCCAATCTGATCTCGCTTTGTCTACAAGTCAATGTGAATAAAAAGCACCCTTTTTCACTCAATGTTTTACAGTGCCACATGAGATCGTCATCAAAATTCAAACGCAAAGATAAGTAAAATCTCGTGTTGCGTTTGAACTAAACTCAAATAGGTGCTCCAGCATTAGTCACGCACATGGGTATAAGTCGCTCGAAGGTATTGAATTAATACGTGCACCGGCCCTTTGTTCTATTCTGTACTTTGAAGTCGTAAAGTCACGTCGGTTGGGTATAAGCGCCACGGACCGTTGCTCCGCGTCGACGCATCCGCCGACTCGTCCTGCCCCAACTGAGCGGAGCTTGACGAAAACGCCATAACAAAACTTGAAAATGTGAAACCCCCTTGCAACAGCTAAATAAAAAACTATTGTGTCATTTGCTAATCGCTAAAACTAGCCGATTGTAGATAGAAAGAAGAAAGAAAGAGATTTTTCGACACAACACAGTTGACGTATACAACACTAATAAATATGACAATAGTAAAAGCCTTGTACCGGAAACTTAGATACGAACGTAGATATTTTAGTAAAGTGTCACAAATGTTCACTGATTACCTTCGTAATTATTAATTTGAAATAAATACTATTATTTAAATGTGGATAACGCTATACCAAACCTATCCGTATAAATCAATGATAACTAAGTGTAATAACATAGAAACAGATTGCAACGAACGTCGCCATCTTTCAGTCGAGTCTCCGCTAAAATTCCGAAACGACTACGTGCAAGTATGAAGCTGCTAGCACCCGTTTCCAGTTTGACGAGACAGTCCTCTCGTATTATTAGCCGCAAGCCTTTTTTTTCAACTACAGCCATTGAATTTACAACGTATATTCGATATTTGTGTTGAAAATGGCACATGATCAGGCGTGTATTTGCCCAGTAAACACAAATACACACAAAACATGACGTTAAAGATGTGTACATGACCCAGTGATTATCGAATTTCATTTCATTCAAAGAATGGAAAGTTATGTTAGAGTAAGGACGATGATTGATTATCCGGGCGCTCGCTTTTAATTCAATACACTCGAGCAACCTGAGTTAGATTCCTGTTGTCGGCACCAATGAAATTGTAAATTTTTTGTTGACTTATCACGTGCTCAGCGGTTAAGGAAACATCGTGAAGAAATCTGCATATTTTCAAAATAATAGTAAAAACAATTATGTCGAAGGTGTGTGAGGTCCGCCAATCCGCAGTGGGGTCGCTTGGTGGATATGCCCTAATACCCTCTGCATTCTGTCTTTTAGGCGAATAAAATTTAACCCACAAAACAAAAGAGACGTTATAGCAAGTTCAGTAGAGTTACGGATACATATTATAGTCATCAAGATAATCGTAGGACCCAATGTAGGTTTGTACATAAGTTTCTGCATCGAACGATCAAACGAGTATTGCATAGAACCGGGTTCAGCAAGTTTTCTCATCATATTTAGCTTCCACTTTATTGCGAGGGGCAACTTTTCCTAACACGATCGGACATCCGGCCTGTTTTTGCTTGGACACGATGGAATTGTCATTAGCATTCGCTGGATTTAGAAATTCTGGGAGCGGGATTATTGTGCAAACCAGTATGGAGATTCTGAAAACCACGAATGGAGACTATTTATGTATTTATGTGCTTGGGTAGTCACTTCGATCTATGTTTTCATCGTTATTTTATATATGGGCAAAGGGAAAATGTAATTGATGGCTTTAATCTTTAGCAGGATAAAGAGATACATGAATTTATGCTCACACACGCGTAATTAAGTATTAATTATGACGACCCGAATGGCATAGTGAGTAGTGTACCTGCCTCCTGTACCAGAGGGTGTGGGTTCGATCCCCACTACTGGAAAAATGTTGTGTGATGAACATAGTGTTTTTGTAGTGTCTGGGTCTTTATATACGTATAATATGTATTTATTTACAAAAGAAAAGTACGTTTAAGTATGTTTATCAGTTTTTTAGTACCCATAGTACAAGCGTTGCTTAGTTTGGGACTAGAAAATGATGTGTAAAGATGTAAAAAAGCTACAGTGCTAAGGCTGTGTTGTTAATTTTTTTCATATTTAATGACATATAATTTTGTTCAGTAAAACGAAGGACTGGACCGGTTGTAATTAAAATTTTCAGGCAATCGTGTGCAGTTTGGTAGCGATCGGATCAAAAGATTTTTTTTAGATAATATGTTATACATACGACTCTACCAGTGCGAAGATAGGGCGAGTCGCTGCTAGTAGGACATATTTGCGAAAGTTTGAAATACAGAACAACAGATTAATAGAACCTATACATAGGCTCATCGAAAGAGGTCTATATTCAGTACCAGGCGCTCATAACACGCGTATTTAAATCGTCGAAATACATTAATGAAAGTATGTGGATCTTACCAAGTCGAGCCTCAAGCTGAAGGAGACCTTCTTCCTCATGGGGGCCGCAGTGGGCGTCGGTCCTTCGTAGAACGCGGCTTCCTCCAGACCAAAGTCGGACTCGCTTTCCGCCCATTCCAGCTTCATTGTGCTGGGGCTGGAACACAAGATGATTATTGACATTAATAAGTGAGCTTATCTCCTTTATATACTCGATGGCGCCACTGCTAAGCGATTGGCTTATTTGCTAACCTCTGCACTTTGCACAGATGAAACATTTAGATTTGTAGAAATAAATGGATATATCTACGGGTTTATTTAGATCCATAGGTTATAAGCGAATCACATAAATTCAAAGAAGCTCAAGATTCTGAAACATAAATTTGCCCGGTTGAATAAAATGCCGCCTGAGTTACTTAAGGATAACGCAGCATATATAATAAGTGGAATATCAGAATAGTTTCGGTAGTTTGAGGTTACTTACAAACAAATTACAATATGAAAGAGAATGCCTCTTACAATTCTTAAGCTGACATTTTTTGGAAACTCTTTAAATCTTAATGTACCGTACTATCATTACAAATGATTTTGAAATTTTGATTAACATCAAAGAAAATATATCATACGAAAGAAAAATTCTTTTTAATAGCCGTGTACGGTTTTAAATTTATGTTCCTACTCCACATTTCCCGGAACACTCCGATCTCAAAGCATCAGAGATTTGTTAACACTTTCGTACCCAACGGATCCAATCCATCCGGAAGCGAGCTGTCCGTGTCCTCGCTGACCAGGACTTTACGTCCTTAAGGATAGGGGTCTAAGTCGCGCGGCACCCCTTTAAAGCGAAACGATCGGGCGATCCGGTAAACACGTCGTCGGCAGAATTCGGTACGTCAGAACTTGTCGTCGCGCACAATATCCGGCGGAAACGCGTCGACTCGTACCAGGGTTATTGTCATGTAATTGAAACGGCGTGGTGATTTTCTTTACCCGGGGGGGTTATTTTGATAAACGATGCGATGCCGATCGGTGGCAATTTGTAAGCTGCGTCCGTGATTAGTCGCCGGGTTGAACTGTGATGCGCGCCAGCGGCATAGATAATTTGTCGTACGGAACGCTGAGGATAATTGCATTGTTAGTTTTAATCACGGGAGGCTATATATGTAAACGTTTACAGTCTTTCTTCTAGTGATTGAAATCTAATTAAATTAATAGGGTATAAAATTATTTTCGGATGTAAACAGCGGAAAATAATTTACCATATCCGCGATGTTATAAGATGTGCTCCTAGTAAAGGTAAAAGTCGAGGAAATAATATGTCGGGATAACCATAAATGAAAATTTGAAAAATGTTATTCAAGTTTAACTTTGCACTAATGATTATTTTTACATTATTAATAAATGATTGATTATGATTTTTAATATAAAAGTTGATGATTTAAACACAAAAAAGGCGACAAAACCCATAAAATAGTTTTTAAAAACGTACATAGAAGTTAATACTATAAAAAATTGAGTTTTATCCCTTGAAGCCCCTGTGTGTGTTTAATATTTGTGCTTTTAAGTTAAATCATTTTTTGTTTCTCCATCTTTACCTTTGGCAAACTTATAATAATACAAATAATTTTAGGTCGTCTTTTTGTGGTCACCGATATATGTGAAATATAAAGACAAACATATCATGTCGTGTCGTATCAATTTATCCTTCAATCATGAATAACTATTTACGTCACGATATCAAAAAAACCTCTGCTGTATGAATGAAATAATATAACAAATCTTAAAATCATGCACGGTTGCTCCTTTGAGGCGGTTCAAGGCTCGATACGCGCTATCTTTTCATTAATTTCTGTTGAATAAAACAACGTCATATCTTATCGGGCGATTGACTGTCGAGATCTTAGCAAAAAACACTCGACAATTTGCATAAATCGCTTCGGGATTAAAGTTTAAGGGGATCGCTTAAGTATCCACCCTACTCAACGATTTGGGGCGACATATGCCGTTATGGGTTGTAACAAGAGCTATATTTAATCGCGCGTTAACATAATGCGCGACAGTAAGGTTCCCGACCTTTAAAAGCGCACGCAACTTCGCATGCTAGCCCGCTGTCTTCTCCCGTGCGTGTTAGCCAATTGGCTTACTTATACTCGAATTGGCGGGTGAAAGCGTTCCAAAATGGCGGTGAAAATTCCAGGAACATTTTTCGGCTTTCGGCGACTGCTATCGTTATGTATACATAACTACACCATTAACTGATCATGACCATAGATAACTATTATCCTTATCATAAAGCGTTGTCAGAAACATAATATATTTAATTTCATTCATGGAATCATATGACTAGTATACATATGCATATGACAGTTGGAATTGGAAATTATGTATATATACATAAGTATATAAGTTTTGACAAAGATTGGGTGAATGGTAGAAATTGATTTGAGTTTTCTAAAGTTTATCATAATTAGTTTTATGAGTAATTTTGAAATACATGGAAAATAGTTTTGATTCAATTTTTGGTAGTCCTAAAAGCCATTCGTAGTATTTACTTCAGGCCTTGAAATGTGTAAAAACGAAACAATTTGACAAGTGAGCAAGTGACAAGAAAATCTCACAAATCAAATTTTTATTATCTTCCATCGAGTAAGCTTTAAATTTAAAGAATTGTTGCATTCTGTAATTTAGATATTGGATAATGGCGAAAAGATTTCTAAAACCGTCAATCAATTGGATGGAGCTAGAAAAAAGAGTACCGGTTGAGCAAAAGAATAATTTTTTCGCGTTTAAAGGAAAATCTGAGGCTTATTTACAACGGTATATTGCGTAAAGAAATTACCTTAATTTGATGTTTTACTTATTGCAGAGCAATGATGTTTAGTAATGCGTGGCGTTTAAAAATTGATCCACTTTACATTAAATGACATATAAGCGAATGTGACAGATGACTAGAATATATGATATGGAAAGAGATAGCAGTCTATAGAATTACACCAATTGGTGTAATTTTATAGAACTTATCTATCTCGTATTTGTATATAATATCAATTTTGCAGAGGATGATAAATTAAGTGAGAGCTGTATCCTTAAATTTTTCAATTAAGATTTTCTTCAGTTATTGTGCTTATTTTGTTCGTACATTTCGACAGAAAAGCACAAATTGTACTTAGAAGTAAATGAGCTTTACCTAGTAAAACTGTTGTAGAAATATTATATATATTTTTTTATAAATGTACAACCATAAAAATGAAGTGTGTTTGTCTGTGACTTCAAGTTAAATACAAAAATGAAACGCCTATTTATTCAATGCCTGAACATAATTATCGTTTTTAGAATTGTTGCTTGTCTACCTGGTTGTTAATTTAATAATAAAATAAATAGCGAGAATTTCATCTAAACTTTTCGTGTATGCCAACATTTACAACTTGTAGGTTTTGGATGACATCATAAACATATTATGTTGTATACACTGAGTTACAATTATAATTGTAATGAGTTTTCACCGTAATTGGGTTACTAGACACAGGGGCAACGTCGTCGGCAAAAGCTAGTATTAAATAAATTAAAATTATGGTAGAGTAAGGCTGTGCTGGCTGTAGTGAACACTACGACAATCGCAAATTTACATAAAGTTGGTGTGTGAAGAGTTTGTGGGATTGTCATCAACAAAATCCTATCTGTGTCTATAAGTGCCTAGTCCCCTGCAGAATGCCTTCTATTCTGTGACAGAAACTACGGAGCTCTATCATACTAAAAAGCTTATTAAATCTACCTTACCAATCGCATGAAAACATTTAGACAAAATTTATAGCTGTTTCATTAATCTTTAACTCGTTAATGTCCATAAGCATATAACAACGTATAAAAGTGATCTTAGGGTTCTCGTCAATCCTGCTGAGATGCCGAAAATCGACTGGGAGACTTACAAGAAGTTGATTCCTATACCGGGACTCGTAGACAAGTTCAAAAGTGAAATGGACAAGTACGGGATACCATATCCGCAAGATACCATGACCTCAAAAATTGAAGAGCAATGGAAGTCAATTCAGAAAGAGATCCAATCGTTCTGCGCAGAACAAGATAAAGAAATTGAGACGTGAGTTTTTTTTATGCGAAAATGTGCCAATTTTCTTCTTAATTTATTCTCACGAAGGTAGGGCCACGCAACAGTGTGCGCTGTTGCACGAATGGGCAGGCTCGTCTGGGGAAGTACCACGACCTCACAGAAGACCGGCTTGAAGTAGTAGCATGATACTTATGAATTTAAGGCGTTTCTACGTGGCCCTACCACAATATTATAATGGTGAGTTTATATACACGAGAAACATATATGTTTGTTTCTTAACGGCGTTTCTTATGTCTCTAATAGTTCTTTGTGGACAGTCTGAGTTTGCGAACCGGTGGCAGATTTCGATGTTCATAAGTGGGATAAGTGTTTTTGTTTTCATTGGTAAAAAAAAAGAACGAAACAATTGGTCAGGTATTTCCAAAGGTATTTACCACAAGGAATTTATTCATTTTTCTTTGTATTAATTAATTTCATAAGAACCTAACCAATCAGTAAAGTTAGTTAAATAAATGTTTAACGTAATTTATGACAGGACTTTATTATTATCTTATTTTTTTATGTGAAAACATGGCAAGTGAACTGGCGGTTCACCCGAGGTTAAGTGTTAACCGCCCATGTGACACCTGTAGGGTTGCAGATGCGTTGCCACCTTTTAACAAAGTGGGCCCCAGCTACCTCACTCACCAGACGAAACGCCGATAACACTTCCACTCGTTCACGTCTGCCTTCTGTGAGATCATGGTACTTCCCCGGGTGAACCTGCCCATTCGTGCAGCAGCTAACTTATGCGTGGCTCTACCACAATTATTAACAACTAGTTGTTTCTGTTCAATAGTTACGTTTCTCTATGAATTAAATCTCGTTTGTAAGTTAAAAAAACGCTACGCCCTTATGTAAACCGTTAACATATTTTAAATTACCGTTCTATTTTTCACTTCAGAGCTTCTAAAGAGTTAAAGAGAATACGAGCTCTACCGAAGTATGAGGATATGACCATGGAGATGTTCTACGACATATACCCCAACGACGCCCTGGACCCTGTAAAAAGGCCAACATTCTGGCCGCACGATTCAGAAGAGCAGCCTGATTATAAACCCCCCGAACAGAAGGCAATTGAAAAAAAAGACGGGCATTAATATAGTATACAATATTAATATAGTATAGTATGTAATTATTTCACTCCAAATGAGTTTATCGTTGTATTTTATTTTTCCTCTCCTCCTTAAACAATATAAAAATATATGGACATGAACTAATGCCACAAGTTAAAACCTTTGTGGTATGCCGATATGCATGGATTAATTTTGAAGATATTTCTAATGCAGCGGGAGTCATTGCTCGCTCCCGCCATAATTGACGCCCAAACAACGCTCCACTTATTGTCTATGGACATAAAGAAGGGCTGCAGTCCGTTTAAAATTAGCCCCGTTCAGGGTCGCGGCGGAGTCGCCCGGCCAAGAGATCGCGCGTGGCAAATTGTGACTGATGATCGGATTGGATTTCACACCGGTCTATTTTCAGATGTATTTATGGGTAGAAAACGTTATAACTGATCGACTCTGATTTTGAATCTAATTAACGTCCGAAAGCAAAGTCCTAGTCTTGCGTCCAATCCGTAGTTGATGGAAAACCTATGCCCGAAAGACTAGCAAGACTAGACTAGCAAGGGAGCTAATAAAAAAATAAAAGTATATATTTGAGAAAAACATTTGCTTCGAGTGTATAGAATTTTACACGTATATGTATATATTGTATTTTATTTCCCGTGACATATACATATAAAATTATCTTCATAGCGGCGGACATATGAACTATAGCGAGAAGACTACACATCTCTTAGTTTACCTTCTCAGTATCTGCGCGTACCGCTAAAAATAGGTCTTTCATGATGAATAGGAGAATGGTGAATGAAGCCCGTTGTGCAGCCGGCACAAACAACGAATATGTTTCGACTACGAAGTGAAACGCGCGCGGTCCCAGCCAGACGCCCGGCACGCTTCCGAGAAAAGCAACTCTGTAACCCAAGTTAAGTATTTCCATCTCTTAGAAACGCGGCTAAGTATTCGCGATTGGATATCGCAATGTGGAGACCATTGTTATAAATAGCTCGGCGAACGCTCCGATCCGCTAGAGTTTATGGTTGGATTCGGTAGAGTTCAACATTTGCTTGGTTTTGGTTTTTCATCCGTTCGCGGATACACCAATGGCCGACAGTGATGTTCTTATTATTTGTGATCAGAAATTGCTGTGGTGAAATAAATATACCTTCATCCCATCATTACAACCTGTCAAATCTACCGTTGAACATAGGCCTTCTTAAACCAACCCTTACTAATGACCCTATCGTGACAGGCAGTTTGATTGCGTCGCCATGTTTGTGGTCATGGCTATCATAGTATTTAATACCATTAAATAAAACTTATTAAAAAGCCTCTTAAACATAAACTTAATGTCTGTGAACTCGACAAGTATTGTTTTATAGCCCTTGAAACATAAAAGTAATAAATTAATCCTTTTATTATCTACAGCAACACTACTTCAAAGGATTGGGAAGGATGTTGGAAATGTTTGTTTTCGTAACAGAAAAGATGATTTAACAATGCGTTCTAAAATACGTGTAAAGAACATCCTTTTCCGTTTCCTCGCTGGAGATGCTACGGTTAATTGCGTATCAATCGACAAGGTGGACGGATATCCGATAGCTACCATAAATAGTAGAGCAGATAGTGAGAATTGCTGTAGACAACATTCATTAATTTTTGTCCTTTGTTTTGACGGCTCGCTTAAATTGTTATGATAGTTGCTGTTTTGTATTGATTTAAAAGTATTTATTACCAATTTTATTTTGGGAAGGCGTCCCGTGAAAATAATAAAATAAATTAACTTGTAACGGGGTCTTTATTCCGCTACCATGAGCTATACCATAAACATAAAACTTTTGAATTAATAAACTTGATTTTAACACGATTCTATTAGGTTTATCCATCAGTATCAATTTATTGGAATCTGTCAACTTAATTTTCACTGACTTCGACATTATTTATTTGAAAATATGCATGTGTCGAGTACCGTTTACAATGCAGTAATTTGATAAATTCATCAGAACATCTTCACCAGGTTTTGCAGGATGAAGGAGTCATTTAATTTATTAGTCTCGCGTCCTAGATCAATAATAAAGTCGTTACGCTTTCATTACGCAGAACTAAGATCAATGTCTCCTTATCAGTAAATTTAATGTCAGTCCACCAGTGTATAAAAGCGTCAGAAGCTTACTATTATGTAATATCAATTATTGGAGCGAATTGTCTATTCACGACCGAGATATTCAGATACGAGTGAGTGTCCTAAAAAATATGATAAATGTGCGTGTTGGATTGTGGCAGCCAAAATTTTAAGAGAATTTCGTTCAAAGTTTGAAATGGTGCAATTTTAGGAACTATACGATACTGCATTATTATTCGTAAATTCTCCTAAAATGTCGTGTAACAGTTTTCAAAAGTGAGTGTTTAAAAATTAGTAGAGTTTTGTGATTAAAAGAACTAGTAGGTATTTTAATATATATGGAGAGAGTTTAAATTAAGTGCCCAACTATGTAAATCATTGTTTTTCATATTAAATAAGCAAAACTCCTCTACAATTGTGAAACACTATTTTCTCTAAAATCGCTTGCAAAGCATTTTTATTACCTTACCGCAACAAACAAATCAGTTTAAAAATTCATTTCATCTGACATGATAAAAACTGTATAACTAAAGAGTGATATCGAATTCTGTTTTTTTCTTAAACATAGTGTTATCTTAGATTCATTAGGCTTCGTTACAATATATATTTCTAATGAAAAACTTAAAGATCAATCCCGTCTCGACTGTACAAGTTGTAATGTTAACCCGAAACACGTGTTACATATGTGGACATGTGTGGCATGTGTGTGACAATAGTTTTCAATTCGCTGATTACAGTTAATAAAGCAAAGTCCCCATAGCGTGGGCGTCGTCTAAAGGGTGCGCAGTCTGCCACCTGTTGGACGCGTTCTAAATATAGTCTGTATCGTCCGCACCCCAACGTACCGAAGCTGAACTATGACTAATGTGGTAACGGAACTTTCAATCTCGCCGACTCGCAGACATTTTTAAATTAGAACCACAGAAAATATGATATATTATTAATAATGATAACCACAGAAAATATGATATATTAGTAAGTAGCAATTGGCAGCTTTTGACCGCTTCCAGAAACGTCGCCTAGCAACATATTCATTCCTTTGTGAAATGGATTTTTAGTAAATTTTTAGGACTGTTCTTTAATGCACAAATTGATGGTAGCTCGGGGCAATCGATGTGTGTGATCTGGTTGGGTGCTGTCAGTAATATAATTCAAAATTCATTCAATATTCATAACTTTAGTAGCTCTGCACTGTGTGCATAAAGTTACATTTTGTATATAAAACTTGGCAGGGGCGAATAATTTGTTCGACAGTTTGCTTTAACACATTATAAATAATTCAAAATGTTTTTTTTTTGTATCCAAAACTGGTTTGGAAGGTTATAATTCGTTACGTTGCGAATATAAAACTTATCAATGGTAGGTTCGTTTTTTCTTTCAAACATTTAACCGGCAAAAGAATATATTCGACATTATATTCAACGGGCTAACGCATTATCATTCTATTTCAATCCCGAGCCACTCGAGGTTGCTATAGATGTTTTGTGTTATCATGTTAATACTTTTGTCTTTTATCAAAACAATCTTTAATGTATTGCGTGCCGTGACTTTTCAAATTGTTATCAGTAGATCCATTCCGAGGGATTACAAGTGGTGAATTTAAAGTCAACACTTCATTCCCGTCAAATCGTTCATCGGTATTGACGAGGTATTAAAATAGATGTGGAATAAACAAAAGCAGTAATGTGTGCAAAGTTCGAATACAATACGAAAAATACTTATTACAGATAGCACAGGGTCGGCTACAGTAGCACTTTTGACACATGTCGACATTCGGAATTTTGTTCTTCCTTCGAACATGTGTTGCTAATATCTATAATTCATGCGCCCGCCGGATTATGCGTCGGATTTATGTTTGCACAATACAAAGAGGCGTTAAATTATTCTCAGGCTTTATGTTATGCAGTGTTAGCGCCACACAGCAGTCTTTGCTGTTGATCGAATGGACTGGCTCGTCCGGGAAAGTACCTACCACAGAAGACCAGCGTGAAGTGGAAGTGTTATATACCATTTCCTATCATCTGGTGAGCGAGGTAACCGGGAAACACATTAATGAAAGGTGGTGACGCATCAGTAACCCTACGGGTGTGGCAGATCGCGGATGGCAAGAATAGGAATTGTCTTCTTTTTTTATTTTATTTTATTAAAGAGGTTTTTTACACAACTAGATAAATATCACCTTCATTGTGTTCTTCCTAAATTTAGGAAGTAAACAATTTACTATGGAAGTTTTTCATTGGGTAAATTCAAACCATATGCACCTAAATGTTTCACATTTTGGAAGTTTTGGTTTGAATTTAGTGAATTTTAGTCGGTTTTTGAATTGCTTTAGGAGTGTTTTTCTAACGGTTGGTAACACTTATGGCAGATGTGTATGCGCGGCTGTTAATACTTGTTATCAGATGAAACGCCAGCGCGCTTTCTTTCTCACAATCTCACATAAAAATAAAAAAAAATTGGCTGACTTCAGTCAAGTGGAGGAACTCGCAAGTATTGGCAACACATAAATATTGAGTTAATGCGGCCGTGCGAAGAATTCAATCGCTTAGGCGTTATCTGGTGCCTTGTCCATTGTCATCGCCTACTGACTTGGACGTTCCGATATTGTCGGACCTTGGCCCATACTCCACCCACTGCCTAGAATACCAGAAAGCTCCGTTTAGGCAATACCCGACCGGTTTTTGTGTCTTCTATATCGATGATTTCTTTGCAAAGTAACCAAAGATAAACGGGCTCTGTTATAAGATAAGGAGGTAGTGTAACATTTCAATAAAGCCCTCTAATACTTGAAGAAGCTTCGAAAAGCGATAGGACTAAAGGCGAAGAATACTATTTGGTCAGTTTCAGATCTGATCGCATCGTTAATCTAGATAACATTTTAACTTGAATTTTATCAGAAAAATATACCCAA